CTCTTTCCATTGGAGATCATTGACAAATTCACTGCTTTGTTTACGTTAACTCTGGCTCTGTTTTTTTCGTCAATTGCCTTTGTAATTTTATTACGACGCGCAGCGACGAACTTTTTGTAAATTGGACAGCCTTTCCAATTGGCGGGATGTCCTGATTCTCTACAATTGGCACAGTATGGAGCTATTGAATCTGTTCGCATACGCTGGCATTCTCCAGGAGGGTGTTGTTGGTCGCACTTCACGCACTTATAGGCTGAGTTGCAATTCCGAGCAATATGCCCCCAATTTTGACATCTGAAGCACTGAATGTCTGTATCTTTCTTTTTTGGTTTCTCCCACGAGATGCTTTGGCCTTGGAGAAATCTGATATGGCTCACATCACTAATTTTCTTCCCGGGACAGAGAGAAACGCTGAACAGTCCTGTGTCAATGTTCTTTTTCACTGAATTCGGCGTTTTAAACTTCGCTACACTAGCTACTGTATCGGGGACTAGGGTATCGAGTTCAGACTTTATATCATTAACATCCGTTTCAGCATATAATCTTCTGATTACCAATGATTCCTGCTTAAGTTCCTTTGGTGTGAAGGAATATGAATGTATATTCTTCTCTTTTAAGATAGCCATCATAGAGGCGTGCACATTTTTATCTGCGAAATAGAGTTTACTTTTACTTCTATTTATGTTTTTTATTTTAAAGGAGAATGGGGGAATCGTCGATTTTAATGATTCAACAAGAGTTTTTATGTTGACGTTGAATACAATAATTGGCGGACACCAAGATATTGCTGGCGTTGATGATGTTTCTTTTGCAGTACCAGTACGTGGCTGAGACACTGTAGGTTGGGTGTTATTTTCCAGATTAACATCAGCTAGGACATCCAGGATGCCAAATCTGTTCTGATCCTTAGGATTATAACTCACCAGTTTCTTTGTCAGATCAGAAACATTTACATTAACTGGCGAAAATGCGCCCTCCAATCGTTGCCTCTTACGCTCGTTTATTATCTTTACATTTTCGATGTTTGATATTACGTCGTCATTGGTTTGAGGTGTTGATGTTATTTCCTCTTCAGCAACATCAAAATCAATATCATCAAGCGTAGAACCAGGCATCTTAAATGCAGGGATATTGCAATTAGGATGCCGGGAGATGTATTACTTTTTTTTTAATTTAGAAACTTAGATAAAATTATTTGCGCTTAAAAAGCTTGTTCACAGTTAGGGATCTCAAAACCGAATCCTTCGTCTTATTCTGAACAACATTTTTGTGTGAATTTTTTCGCATTCTCGCTTTCGCCTTATTCTGAATGAAGTTCGAAAGCGAAAAAATCCGCTTTGGGGAAAAATTAGGTATTCTGGATTACAGGGAGTTGGAGAATGAGATGAAATTTTGTGCGAATTTTTTCGCTAATAAATTCAAAGTGAGTTGACTACAAAAACATAAGTAATAAATATTTTTATGAAAAATATTAACACAATACTTATTCTATGACGATTTAGAATATTATAAATGATAGTAAGCAAATATTTATCTGGAAAACAGCAAATAAAATGCCTTTGGAAATCCTATTGATAATGATGCATGCTGAACCAAATATTGCCAAAGAATGTATAAAAGGTAATAATGAATATTTAAGTCGAGTTTGATGCATTTTGGAGGCGAAAAACAGAAATTTTAGGTGAGGATCTGTATCTCAAGAAAAAAATTGTAGAAAAACCAAATTAGCCTAATGAGCCGCTTAACAGTGAAAAACTTAAATAAAAATTATGAAACAAAAAAAAAAAAAAAAAAAATACAAAAAATATTTTTTTTTTCAAAATTATCGTTTGCATTATTTGAAGGAAGAAATAAAGGAGTAGGAGCATAACTGGCCACTTTAAGAATTTGGAGAGAAAAAAATATCGAAATTAAATAAAAACGCACACAATTATGTTCTTTTATTTGTAATCTATTGTAGTTGTTGTACCAAAATGCATCAAAACAATGAACAGCTGTTTCACATGTCATATTGTAGGTTGCCATATTTTCAAACTTTAATTAATTTTCTTTTAATTACAAAGCATTTATAAAGCGGATTCTTGATATTTCACATTTATATTGTTATAAAGTTTAAACCACAATAACAAGTAACAATTTTTAATAAAATAATAAATAAAATATTGAAAAATATTACACAATTAAATTACAATGGGGCAACACACATTACAACTTAAATTACAATATGGCAACACACATTACAACTTAAATTATAATATAGCAACACGAATCTTTTTTCAACCACCATTTTCGAAAACTCGAATCCGCATCTCGCATTTTTTGCGTCTCCCCAAGGTATATTTAATAAGGTAGCCGCATCGGCCCAGCTGTTGGACAAATAAATGTCAAAAATGTTGTTGTAATGTTGAACCAAAAAATTAAAAAACAAAATTATAAATGAAAATCTCCGAATTTCGAATAGATTTTTTGGCAATACTTTTATTAACATTTTCTACAAGAATTTGTGTAAAAAAATCTTGTCAATCTGTTTGTTTTGGCAAAATATTTTTGACATATCAAAATACAACAACCGATGTTTGTTGTAGAAATTCGCCGATGCGGCTACCTTGTATATCTACCTTGCGTCTCCCTATTCATTCAGAATAAGGCGAGAATGTGAAAGCGAAAATTTTTGTATGTGCGAGATATCTCCCAGCGAATATCCAGAATAAGGCTGTAGGTATTCTGAATTACAGGGAGTAGGAGAATGAGATGAAATTTTGTGCGAAATTTTTCGCTAATAAATTTAAAGGGAGTTGACTACAAAAACATAAGTAATAACTATTTTTATGAAAAATATTTACACAATACTTATTCTATGACGATTTAGAATATTATAAATGATAGTAAGCAAATTTTTAACTGGAAAACAACCAATAAAATGCCATTGGAAATCCTTTTGATAACGATGCGTGCTGAACCAAGTATTGCCAAGAAATGTATGAAGGTAATAAGGAATATTTAAGTCGAGTTTGATTTTTGGAGGCGAAATACAGACATTTTGGGTGAGGATCTGTCTCTCAAGAAAAAAATTTTTAAAATTATGGAAAACCCAAATTTGCCTGATGAGCCGCTTAACAGTGATAAACTTAAATAAAAATTATGAAAGAACAATTTTTTTTAAAAGCAAATCATAACATAACAGTCCACTTTAAGAATTTGGGGAGATAAATATCGGAATTAAATAAAAAGGCACACAATTATGTAGTGAAATAATAAACTGTGAATTAATTAATTAAATCGCAGATTTCTTCCTATTATTCGTTGTGTTTTTGCCATCATAAAAAAATGTTCTTTTATTTGTAATCTATTGTAGTTGTTGCAACAAATTGCATCAAAACAATGAACAGCTGTTTCACATGCCATATTGTAGGTTGCCATATTTTCAAACTTTAATTTATTTTCTTTTAATTACAAAGCATTTATACAGCGGATTCTTGATATTTCACATTTGTATTGCTATATAGTTTAAATAACAATAAAAAGTAACAATTTTTAATAACAAAAATCAATAAATAATATATTGAAAAATGTTACACAATTAAATTACAATGGGGCAACACACATTGCAACTTAAATTACAATATGGCCACACACATTGCAACTTAATTTACGATATGGCAACACGAATCTTTTTTTCAACCACCATTTTCGAAAACTCGAATCCGCATCTCGCATTTTTGCATCTCCCCAAGGTAGATATACAAGGTAGCCGCATCGGCGAATTTCTACAACAAACATCGGTTGTTGTATTTTGATATGTCAAAAATATTTTGCCAAAACAAACAGATTGACAAGATTTTTTTACACAAATTCTTGTAGAAAATGTTAATAAAAGTATTGCCAATAAAGCTCTTCGAAATTCGGAGATTTTCATTCATAATTTAGTTTTTTAATTTTTTGGTTCAACATTGGTACAGCTGGGCCGATGCGGCTACCTTATTAAATATACCTTGCATCTTCCTATTCATTCAGAATAAGGCGAGAATGTGAAAGCGAAAATATTTTACATGCGAGATATCTCCCTAGCAAATATCCAGAATAAGGCTGTATATATTTCTCCTCAATTATTCATGATAGGAAGATTTCATTCTCGAGAAATTTGATTTCTTTGTGAATTGAATAATACCTTAGAACTCTTGAAACCAAGTATACCTTTATTTTGTAATTTTTCAAATCATCTTTCACATTGACCTTCACCCAACCCCCAATTGAAACACAAAAAGGTTTATAATTTTATAACAATTTGTTTTAATGTATATTTCTTTTTCTTCTTTATCATTTCATCAAATTATATTATTTTTGTCCAATTTTTTTTTTCTTAAAACTTTGTTTTTCTCTTGTTCTTTTTTGTTTTGAAATGTTAGTGTTTTTATAAAATAAAATAAAAAAAGAATACTTGCCTAAATAGTACTTACAAATGAATTTAATTTTCATATCACGAATATTGTGGTCAAATAAAAATACATATTTTTTTACATTAAATTGCTGGAGATGTTTCCAAAATGTCATCTGGCTGGCTTAAACTAATAACAATATCTTAGATTGCAGCTAACAATGTACAATAATAGTAGTTATTCATTCTTTCTTTCTTTTTCGTATGCATATAAATATTTTGAAATCTTAAATAAGTTAACGGTACTTCTATAATTATTTACAAAAAATTAAAAATTTACTAGTTTAGGAAATTAGGATTTTAATACATTTTGTTGTTCAAAAGCTTCCCTTGTTTGCGAAGCTGTCTTGTAAGCATCCTCTCTCGTCGAATAGCAGCTAGATGTCCATTGTAAATTATATGGGGTTAGTCGGGAGTACAAAACAGATCTCTTCACAACCTGAGCTTATTTCTTCTTATGCGCGGATTTAAAAAAAATGGCTTATTTGCTTTCGACGTTGCAGAATCAATGGAGAAAATACTTGTTGCGGACATGGAGGGAAGATGTGTAGCAGGAACCGTCATGACATTAGTGCATTCTCATTTACAACTGATACTAACTGCCGACCATAATGTGAGCTGGTTGCTCGAGTTCATTGTCGTAGCGTGTCGTCGAGACCGGTGTCAGGCTGTTCTTGAACAGATCATCGGCGGATGTGTATTTGCAACTGGGTGCCAATTCGGTGAATTCTGTTCCGAGCCCGAATTCCATATCAAGAAATCCATATTCCCAGGTCGAGGATGAGTTCATGCTACTGGCATAGGAGGAGGTGAGTGAATGTGTGGCCGATGAGATAGTAGAGAGTGTGGTAAATGTTGCTGTGGTAGTTGCTGAGGGCGGTGTGGTCGACGCGTTGCTGCAGCTGTTTGAACACGACAATGATGCACCAGAGGATTGGACTGTGGTAAATGTGCCGCTGATGGCGACGGAGCTTGAAGAGGAGGTGCTGGTGTCACCGGTTGCAACTGTGGACGTCACCGATACAGGAACAGCAGTTGCAGGATTGGCGGGAGGTAATATGGAGAATATGTCGTTATTGTTCAATGGGTCTAAGGCGGATTGTGATGACAGGCTGAGAACGGAACTCCAATTAATCGATCTCGTAGATTCGTCGTCCGCATAACCGGAATCGGTATCGGACATTAGTGAGCTGCCGGGTGATGATATTGTTGAGTTTGAGTTTGCACTAACTGTGCTCACCGATTGCACTTGAGTCGACCCAGACGCTGACGACACTGTTGACGCTGAGGCAGGCGATGGCGGCGGTGTTGATATCACAGATTGGCAGGGGAAGGGAGTCACACGACCAGAATTAGCCTCCCGGAATGGGTAATGATCGTAAGGGTGCAGCGTTGTTGTGGTACTGGCGGACATAGACACCGCGCAACTGTTGTTACTCTGCGAGAATTGGGATGAGGCTGTTGCGGGTTTCTGTACCGCCGAATTTTGGAAAGACGATTGCGAGATATCTATAACTCGCTCCGACATATAGTGCGACTGTTGCTGGTGGAAAGTTTGTGAAGCGGCTTGTTGCTGCTGCTGTTGCTGGTTATGATATTCTACATTTCCTCCTAGCCTGCCGCAATTCAGCACTGGCATATAGTCCTGATGCTGAGGATGCAGCATTGGCTGCTGAGTATGGTGATGCTGCAGCGGCTGTTGTTGATGGCCATTGCCAGCGTGTACGGGTGACTGAATTTGCATGTGTGAGTGCAGGTGATGGTGGTACTGGGGTTGCTGGTGAAGTGAATGTTGCAGATGGTGTTGCTGTTGTTGTTGTTGCGCTGCATGCGCTGAAGCTTGGTGCATCTCCTTGGCTTCAGTTTCAATTTCCCTGTCGATTCTCTTCAAGGTGTTGCAGATCAAAACCGATCTGTACAGCGACTGTTCAGACACTTGACGGAATCGCGACAACTTGAACATGGACAAGTTGCGTATTTTAAGTCGTATATCCTTGTAACAGTTCTTATTGTTACTGCACCAGGTGCCGCGGCCATCACAGCAGCGTTTCATGGGGGAATGCCTGGCCTCAAGAGCCGAACCCAAAAATGGCGAAGTGGGTTGCAGAACTGGACTGATACTCGCATTGGGTGCTGGGCTGCTGCAGCCTAATTCCAAGTACGACTTTCCATTTTCTGCACAGCGAATTGTTTGTTGTTGTGACTGTTGTGTGTTGTAGGTGGAGTCCGATGACGCATAGAAGGATGAGTTGTTGGGACCAGCGTTGGTCCAAACGAAACCGTTTGGACTGTTGCTTCTCATATGTGGCTGGCTAGCTGTCCTGGAGCAGTTCTGTTGGGGGAATGGTTCTGAATAGTAGTTGGGCCTAGATCCATAGCTTTGTAACGACGAGGATGAGAAATTGCCATTCATGCGCGAACCCTGCAGGCTGGACGAATTTGGTGAATTTGATGAGGGGAATGTGTGATATCTCAGCGGACAATATGTTGGAATAATACTTTCTTCTTCTTCGTAGTCATCTTCAAAATCATCGTCATCATCGTCCAGCTCATCAGCGCTGAGGAGTGTTGTGGCCAATGTTGAGCGTGTCGAAATACTGCCCCATGGATCACTGGGCACTGCTACCGCTTGCAATTTGGATATGCAGTCTACAGGTTCGGGCGTCGAGGACCAGGGTTCACAAGCAACATTTGCTACCACCTCAAGTTTAGCTATGCTGTCCTCCGGAACGGGTGTCGTAGATGTGGGCGGCAAGGGTGTGGTTTTGTCGGCTTCTGTTGCGGGGGCGGGCAAGGCAGCTGCAACTAGGCTATTTAAAATTGTCGCACTTGCTGACGTTGATTTTGGAACTTCTTTACCATTTCTAAGACTAATGGATGATAAGTTGCTGCAGGAAATTTGACAGTTTTTATTTTCATTGTTGTTATTTGCCGATTTGGTGCAGCCATTGGCGAGCTGTGTAACTTTTTGCTCCTGCGTGGCTTCGGCGTAATTGTTGTTGTTCAACGACCATTTGCTGGCCTTGATTGGAGGCGGACAATTTGTGTAAGTATTTGTGTCCTTGGAGTCGAATGTTAAATCATGTTTCCGCTTGGTAGCGGCTGTGGCTTGTAGACCCATAGCAGAATTTACCTAAAATAAAGAAATAAGAAAGAGAAATTAGTATGGAATATTTCTATTTGTAGCGGTTGGATTTCTTAATTTTAAAATTCGAAAGTCTTACATTCTAACAACTCTTAAGCCGTTACAAAGTTCCGTGGCCCTAATGTTAAATATTGCTTCTATTTCGCTAAAAGGGGGGTTGGTTGCTTGGTTGGTTGACTACTTGACTAAGCCCAATGACGCATTTGGTTCAAGCAAATGCTATAGACACTTTGCTCGCTTTCATAGTCGTTAGGCCATCACATTCGTCCTTCCCTTCTTCACAATCGAGCCATATTAAAAGGGCGCAAAAAGACGTAAAATTAATGTAGAACGTAAGAAGGCTATGATAACGGCAACAGCAGCGGCAGCACCGACGGCGACGAAGAGAATAATTCCAACATTTCACCGAACAAAAATACAATCCAGAGGAAAGAAAAATATAATGGAAATGTTTCTTCCATTGTGTTTATGAGTTGCCATATGCCGTTGCCCTGCTGTTCTTGGTTTATCTTGTCGTTATGATGTTCTTGTTGTTGTACTTTCTTCTTTCAACTTCTGACGATGGTTGGCTGACTGGCCGATTGCCTGCCGCCTGCCTGCCTCTGAGTTTTTGCTTTGAAGGGATTTTGTTCTATGGTTACGACGGCATATTCAATTCCCTTCGTTACAACGGGGTACGTTTTGTTCGAATCGATTCCGAGTAGAGTTCTTGTTACGAGTATTCATGCTACAACGAAGCTAAGCTGTCACGGCACGGCATGTGTTATTTTCCTTGACGTGCCTTTTTGTGTGCCAGCAGCTCTTCTCTTGTGGAAAAGGTTCTTTTTGGTTGGTGGTGGTTTTGGTAGATTGGATGGAATGGGATGGTAGAAGTCGAATTTCATCCCCTATACACTTATTCGTCCAAAACATGCTATTCAATGCTGCCGCATGAATTGTGAAAATAATTTACCATCCCTGACGGCTTAGCAAAAACATACACGAAGGCGGAACATCCACAATGGTTTATTTCGACTTAAATGGGCGAAAGGCCGACCGAACTTAGGGAGACAGTTTGAATCGCTCGCTCGTTGTACCGCTATATAGATGTTTTCCTTGTGTATTTAAAGACTATAACAACAACAACAGCAAGCCCTTAGTCTACACAAGAATGTGTGTGCGGATGAATGATTTAGAAGATACGTATTTTTTTTTTGTTGTGTTTCTTCTATCTGCCCTTTTTGGGAATAACTGGGTATGTACTTTTGTACGATACTCACAAATAAACACAGCCGCACATATAAACACCCTTCCCAAAGATTTGGTGTTGGTTTTGTGCGTGTATATGTGTATGCGTGTCTATGTTTTACGTTAATCAAATCGTGAGACGTTGCTACATTCGACATTCCTTACAGATGGTGGGAAGATTACAGATTCCAGTTCTAATGAGACAAAAAAATGTGCACATTTGTATCGTTTCAAAATTGATAGGAAGGGGAGGAATATGAAATGGGTGGATGGATGAGATGGGTGGGTGTTTGATCTGGACGCTGTTTGTTGTATAGAGGAAAATCAAGCGATAATTCGATTGTGTGTTTCATCTAAATGGCGAGCAAATTTAAAAGTTATTCTTATTCTTTACTGGTGTCGTACAACAGCAAAATCGAACTCAAATTCCATCATCGTCATCATCATTGCCATCACCAAGAGAGATATGTAATAGCCAACAACCAAGTGAGTGATCTTTAGATTCGTTTGCTGTTGGTCGACTTAATGCTGGTGATGGTGTGGCGAGGTTTGTGAAACCTGCTTTCGTCGAACTCAAACATGAGCCAGAGCTATTTTACCTGTCGGATGTTTTTGTAAGTACCCAACCATCGCCACTGGCTCCACTGACTAAACTTAACGAGCCAAGCGAACGCAAATGGCTTTGCTTTTTTGTCAGAGTGGATTTTCAAAGACTTTGAAAATTTTTATGTTGGCCAACAACGTAAAAACGACACAACAAATAAACAAAAATCACCATAGAGTCAAGCGAATGGGACATTGATTCGAGCTCTTATAAAATTCGTATGGCTTTTTGTTTTCGAAGCAACTGGAAACTGGTTTTGTTTGCGCGTTTCGAAGAAACCAGCTTACTGAAACCGCCACAAGTCGTTAGACATCAGCCAGTGAGCAACATCATTTACTTTGTTGCTGGTCGGTTGGTTGGTTAGTCAGTCGGAGCTATTGTGTGAAAGTATAAAACAAAAGCACTGTTGTTTTGTTGAAGTTGGCGATGATATTTCGAGATGAATTTTCGCAAGCCAAGCGCTACTGCCAAACACCGGTTTGTTTTTTGTTTTGTTAGTTGATTGGCCTTCTCTTCAAATAGTTTCTGTAGTTGAAACTCTTACCTGGCCGATGAAAAGATCTGTTGATAGTTTCCGTTAACTATGCAATTATCACTGCTCGGCTCTATTGAGTTTGTGTGATATATTGGTGATCTTTGAATCTTGTCCCAGCATGATATTTCTGTGTTTGTCAAGGTCCCTAAATATGTTACCTGTTCGGTACATTGTTCAATTGCAGGCGGATGCCTGTTGGCTCAAATCTTTAGTTCTGTGAACAGGTAATCCCTTGCTGCTCATTTGCCCTACCTGGCTGGGCAAAATGACCCTGCAATTAATGCAGACTACGGATCAAACGTAAATGGCTTTTAAATGATCAGAATTGTTCCCATCCCTAGACCTAAGTGACAAGAGATTTTTCATGGATATTTGTTATGAAGATTTTGTGAAGCATTGTACATCACATGATGATGATGACACTCCGTGATCACAAGATTTTCCCAAACATTCATGGTTTCGAATGGCAACAACGAAAGCGTCGGATCATCAAAACATTGAACGACGCCCGTCGTCATCCAAGCTGTAGTCAACTTTATTTCAACTTTAAACAAAAACCGCTGGAAAATGCGAAAAATGAAATATTTTCACATTTTATAACCAACCGACCACACACACAGACATACTCGAGCGAACTGTCATATAACGAGCTCTTATATACATATGGACAAAGTATGTATGAATGTCTGTGCTAGTATTTGTGTGGATATAATACATTAACAGAGATTGGGGTTTTTCATACCCAACATACTACAGCCAGCCAAACAATATCAACAACAGTAGTCAGCTATTCGATGGTTTACGGCGGACAGACCCACCAACTATTCAACTAGGTAACAACCGTCCCCACCATCAATTTGCGAAGTGAAACTCAGGCCTGATTTTATATTACACTGAGAGAAATTGGCGTGAAATTTTTGTACTCTAAAATGTATTTGAAAATGGGATAGCGTATTATGAATTAGATTAATATTTAGGGGCGAGCTTAGTTGGATGACTTGGAAAAATATTGTTTCCAAATGAATGGGATTCTTCGGAAAAATATAATATCGTTCGTCTCCAAATGTTAGCTGGCAGTTATATGTATAGGACCCTATTGGGTGTTTAGCTGCTTTGTTACCTATTTCCAAAACGACTTTGCTTCTTCGATATTTTCAGTGTATTTTGAAAGTTCCAATTGTAGAAGAAGAAGACAACAATGAAATAAACGCATTTGCTGTATAAATGTATGTATGTTCAGACCCCGTTGCCGACAAAATGACGATGTACGTCGCCATTGCTGCCGTCATGTCAGATATCATGGCATTCACTTGGCTCTATATTGCTCCCCCTGCCCTAATCCCGCCACAATTCTCCCCCACCACATCGGATTGTAATCATCGCCGTCAGTCCACACAAAAATACGTCGTTCGTTGGCTGTTTGGTTGGGTTGGATGGTTGCGTTGTTTATTCGATCGACCGAACGAACGACCATCCATCCAAACTCAGTATTTAAGTGTACAAAAAGCAACAACAACAACGGCGACGACGACAATAACGAGAACGAAAATCGACTTGAACAAAACAAAAATACTGAAAATGTAAAAAAAAATAACACCAGCAACAAAAAACAACAACTACAGCAGTGCACAGCACAATGGAATGAACACAGAAAAAAATAAAACCTGAAATGTACACAAACAAAGTATTTCCACATCCAATGTTGCTGACTCGGTACAAAAACCGTCCAACCTAACAGCCAGCCAGCCATCTATCTAGCTATCCAACAGTCAGGCAGGCAAGCAAGCAATACGGAATGTTTGGTTTTATTATAGCTTCTGAACTCATATAACGAGCACAATGAACGACGTCCAATGTACCGAATGAATAAACGAACGAAGGAGAGACACAGTGAACAACAACAGCCAGGCAGGCAGGCAGGCAGGCAGGCAGGCAAAACGAGTGCCGTTCTGCACCATTCAATCGTACACACACAATGCACGAAGTACAGTCTCAGTGTTAAAAATAAAACATGGGTGAACTCGGAGCGGGCATATGACAGAGGGGATCATCGCTCAGCACAGCACAGCACCACACTGTATTGTATCGCATAAGCTATACAAACAAAATAACAGCAGCAGCGCACACAACAAAGAAAGATTGTGATGATGATGATGATGTAGAGTTGCTTTGAAAATGTTCAGAAAAATAAGACCCATGAACAGACGACCGACGAGCGAACGAAACAAATATTCAGCCATCTATCCAAGCGACCAACCAACGAACGCATGAAGTATAAAATCTGATGATGATAATAATGCTGGTTATGCAGCACTGTGTTTATGAAGAGGCTTTATAATCTGGCCATGGCACAGTGGGTTCTGGTTGTTGGTGGTGGTGGAACATCTGTCGACGAATTGTATTCTTAGAATTCGATGTTCCAGGGGATGAAATATGGGATTTACGTACATATTTAGAGTCGAATTATTAATAAAGTGTTGTAGCAACAAAAGTCTAAAATTTTGACTTGGAAACATTCTAGGGAATGCATAAAATAAGAGTTGTAGTTGAACTTCAACTATTTATAGCATTTGAAATGACCGAATATTGGAATTGGGGATTTGAGGACTCTACATGAAATAATTTCAACTGAGTACAATTTTTTTTTTTAAATTTCACAATATAATATATACATATATATATATATATTTGTATGTATGACATTCTGGACTAGTGTGTTATAATATTATAACTTTTTATAACAGAGAACGAACATATTTATAGCAGTTTCAAAAATATATACCATTATTCTACTATACACCCCCGGTATACATCTCCCCTGTCTCTCGCCTTTGTATGTATGTACATCGTTCATATCTCCCTCCTGGTATAGTTTGGTTATTTCATTGTTTTTCTGGCACTTATTTATGTATGTAGATGTGTATGTGGAATGAATGTAGTACGCACACACACACACACTCGTACGTCAGTTTGTCGTACATTATCCTCCCTTGTGGCAATGGTGCTTGGCTAGGGTTTTGTGTTATAAAACCGTATACTCGTTGGGTTGTAAATGACGATATTTTTACATTTGAAGGCAAGCAGGGCGAACTGGGTGCTATATTCTGACTACACGGAAAGGTGGTAGGCGGCATGCAACTCAAGGGGGAAGCATATACATATATATGAATAGGTCGTTAGAAAAAAGGAAGCAATGGGATGCGAATGGATGGATGGTGGTTGCTGGATAGCTAGCTGACTGACATTTGAGTGGGTGGCTTTTGAATAGATTGTTGGGTGTTATTTCCGTCGACTAGCATGGTGAAGATGATGATGGTTGTAAGGGAGTAATTCGAATAAGCAAAGAGTCGGTCACAGCCACCAAATGAAAGAACGACATACAGTCAGACCGACCGACCGACCGACCGACCGACCGACGGGCAAACAGTTCATACAACATTGTATTATAGGTTATGTTCTGCGCAGCTACACATTTCAGATTTTTCGTCCATTACTTGTAATCGTTGTCACACCTAATGTCCAAAAGGTACTCGAGTGGGTGATCCAAACGAACGAACGGACCGACGTACGGACGACAGACCGACCATCCTATCGACAAATTGACGTTTGTTGGGCTTTATTTGTGTCCATCGGCAAGATATGTGTGAACGTTTTCTTATACACTGCTCAGCCACACACAACCCTGGTGACCGATGGGACGAAATGGCAAACTGAACATTACAAAAATTGGCATGTTTATAATATTGGACTATACAACTTTAAATTGGGCAAATATTTAATAGAATTTGGATTATTAAAATAAGGTCAGTGGTAATTGTACGCATTCTCATTCGCCTGCATTGGGCGCCACCAAACAGTACCATCACCATCACAAGCAACAACGGAAGCTGATTCCTTTAACAAAACTCAACAGGTTCGTTGTCGTTGTTGTCGTCGTCGTCTTGTGGTTAATTATTCGGCCAACAATTAATGGTCACAATAACAGCTGATGTTTGTTTTTAAGAATCGCAATAACGAAGCAACATACGGAAATGTATTTTAGCCATACACCCCTTGCGCCCAACCCAACCCCAGTTAAGTCAGTTAAATTTAACACGCCGCTGTTACGAAAATGAAAGGCACTTCGTACAAGGACCAAGGACCGAACGATGGGTGATCAGTGGGCGAATGGCGTTAAGAACACAAATAACAACAAAAACCAAGAAACAAGTACTATCCTTTGCACCACCGTACACATGACCGCCGGCCTTAATAAGTCAGTGGAGTGAAACGAAAACGTAGTTTTTCTGCTACCATTCATGAATATTTTACGTTATCTGTTCGTTCTCCCGTTACCCAAACTGTGCCATTCGGCCAAAGATTGAATGGCAAGGCAATCATCTGAAGATGTAGACTTTTATGTCTTTGCCACATTTGAGTGGGGTTAAAGATTAACATTTTGGCTAGTTCACTGCAGGACCGAGGAGTTCTCGGGTGGGATGGTTCGGCTGGCTGGTTCGGCATTTAAGATTCTGGGTGCAGAGTTGCGATGATGTATCGACTGGTGTGCCCCTTTGACGGACATGTGCATATGTAATTCGTTCTTCATGTCATTAACGTTGATGGACTCCTTACGTCGTGTTTGGACCTGGCGTATTTTAAGAGCAACGTCGTACATTGCTCCGGCTGTGTTAATTGGAGAAGAGCCGAAATCAAACTAAATGAATGAACACCACAACACAAATTAAACTTTTAAAGGAATTTATTATGGCGAGCTTTTGTTGGTGGTTCTTCTTCGGCGATTCTTTTGCTCAAGACGAGGAGATTTACTGCAAAGCATGTCGGAGTGTGGTGTGGCGACGACGTGGATGATGGTGACGATGGTGATGCGGCGGGGTACTTATTGATGCAATTACGAGCGACTATGTTGGTGAAGACGACGGAGGTGGTGGTGGCGATGGCGGAGTTACCATAAGGAAATGTGCCATGAAAAGCAAAAGTAAAATAGGAAAACAGCGAACTGTTGCACGAAGATGCCTTTGAATGAGCGTAATATTTGATTATGCTGTTGTTGTGTGGCTTGAATAGCTGACTGGTGGATAGGTTTGCGGATTGTGTTGTGCACCGTGGCGTGGCTGTAACCAACATAACGCCTAGTGGGTTTCTCTCAGTTGGCTATAAGACACAACCCTTACGGTACTGTGTTTCGGTCGATTGGGGGCCATATGCTGCTCCTTATGTTGTGTTGTTATTATTGCCAACCGAGAGACGTGCAGACAGACTGACAAGTGCACGAGTATTATTTTATATGCCCTAGATGGGGAGATGTTTGTTTTGGTTATGTTCCGAACGGAAGGAAGGAAGCTAGCAAGCAAATGCAACTTGTATGAGTGCGTGTGTGTGTGTGTGTGTGAATGATTGCAGCAAAAACAGTTTCTAGTTTCCATAAAACTATGCACAACAATACATTCTACTGTATGGCATATTTATTGTTGTTGTTGCCGTGTGTCTAAAAAATGCATCAGCAGGAGCAGTGGATGGGGCGGAGAGGCAGGAGGAGAATAACCAAAAACGAAATAACTATAAATAACAAAGTGTAGCAAATTCTCAACACCACGTGCTACAAAAAAGCTCAGACTGTAAGAATGCCTCTATGGATGCCAGGATAGGGGTGGTGAGTGTGCGTGTATGTTTGTAGCCTAATGTGCGTATTTGCATACTTGCATATATGCCGACTTTTAATTTCTTTACAATCAATGGATGTGATTTTCTTTATTTGCGACTTTGGCCAACAGGTTGTTAGGTTGCAATTCCAAAACTATAAGGTTTGGTCGTAGGCATGCCATAGAAACGGATCATTAATGCATTTCAAATATAGGTTGTCTTTTAAGTTTGGGTATTAGTAGGATCTAAAAATTTAACTTAAAATATAAAACCATTGTACTTTTCCATTTTTATATTACGTTCTATTCAAATACAATTATTTCCAAAATGATGAATCTATTTTTATTCCTGGCCACAGGTAATTAAATGTAAAAATTGGAGTTTGAAAATGTTCTTTCCATTGTTGTTAGGATGAGTTGTCAATTCTATTCAAATGGCCGTGGATATAGTGAGTCCACAACATATATTGTTCTAACAAAACCATTCAATAGTTCCAATGAAATGCTTAGTTTCAAGAATAGTTCAGATCTTAAGTAATATCTATAGTAGGAATTTAGATTCATATCAAGAAGAGAAAACAAATTATGCCATGACATCAGTCATGCTGTCGGTTTGTAACCAATTAACTGGAATCGGATTTGAAAAAGTTTGTTTATTTTAATATTGATATCCATCCTGCCCATATCTTATATCTTAGTTTATTCCGATTCTAGAGCGTATTATTAGGAATATTTTGAGAAATAATCTTACCTCTGTGCACATTATTTGATTGAAGCGTAAAAATAAATCCACAATAGAGTCGTTAAGGCTTTGTTGTGGCGTTGCAAGCTGATACTGGGGATCCAATATAGGATGATGGTCCACTTTTAGAGGTTTCTTGTGGCGTTTGTTTGATTGAAATAAGTAAACACTTCTTCTTCTGTAACTGCTGCTGCTTCTTCTTCTCCTAGCTTAGGGATTCTGCATATAAAGCGAAACCACTCAGTAACAGCAGTTGTTGTGGTGGCGGCAAGTAATGACAGCTGGATGGTGGGGGGACGACAACGATGACACCTTAGCAGCAACGATGCATTCTGACATTTTTTCTGCTATCGTTCCTTTATGAATGAAGAACAGTTGACAGTTATGCCAGTTTGTTGGTGTTGCTCTTGTTGTTATTTAGGATGATAGTCGTTGCTTCACTTAATGGCTGTTGTTGTAGTGGTTCCGCAGCATATAGGCGCGCACTGATCAATGAATGGGAGTGTGGATGGATGGATCTTGTGTGTTGTGATTTATATTCTGCTTCTTATTGCTCTTCGTTTTTTATGTGATTTGATTGTTTAAGACTTGTTGGTTGTTGTTGGTTGGTTAATTGTTTGTTTTGATTATGCCTTTCTTGTTTGCTGTCTATGCGCGAATGCGAATTTGAATCTCTTGATGGGTAGTGCGGTGTTGTACTCTTGAATTAGACGACGACAAAGACACCAGCAGCAATAACAATAACAAACGAAAACACTTTACAGGTAGTAACGGGCAATGTAAACAATCCACAGATGCACTGCTTTAATAATTGCCGATTTTTTTTTGTTCGATTGATTGGTACTGGGGATTGTCCCAACTATTGTAATCACTGTCTCTCAATGGGAATTTTGCACTTTGGATGTGTTGTTCATTGATTCAAAATTGTTCTTTTACTCTTTTTCATTTATGAAAACTGTTTTATATTTCTATTTTGTATTTTAATTTTCAATTTTTCTTTTAATATTCACATGAATTTTGATTCGGTAATTTTTGCCGGATTTGAGGAACTGTCGCACTTTTGAAGTTACGAAAATACGCGCTTTTTATAAATACGATTTTACGTTAAAATTTCTATATTAGTCCAGCAGGTTTGCGAGCGAACAAACGAGCGTGTACTTAGTCTACCATAGTAAAATCAGAAATAAGCAGTCGTTGTGAAAGATATGTTCATCAGAGCCTCAAAGCCGCATACAGGCAGTCAGTCAGCCAGCCAGCCCTCTCAGCGGCCGCCGTTGCCCTCCCTTGTTTCGTACAATCATCTCATCACCACCGACATTGCTGTGTTCGTTCGTTCGTTTGTTCAGATACTCTGCGCTCTGCCTGCCATGCATGTTCGTGTGTGTGTGTGTGTGCATATACATCATTAGCACCACCACCACCATCACGACCTCGCAAAGGAAGTTGGATAAGAACCGTGTGCGAGTGAAGGTGAGAGCATGATGAGTGCGAGCGAGCAAACAATAACCCCATTGCTTTGACACACACACATGCACACTCACTCACTCATCGAGTAAATGGTTTTTGTTTTGTGCCGCTGCTTTCCTACATAATACATGAGAACAGCAAGCAAGCAAGCAAACGGGCAAAAAATAACAAAAGCCTTACATAAAGCAAATGCATGAAACAACAACGACGAGAATAACAAACCAAGAGATACGGACACAACAACAAAATCCATTGCTGAGAAAGAAATTCGATTATTTCGATGACGATGAGAAACGAATCTACAACGCAGAGCACACACCAAGAGAGAAATGCGAGTCACGGGTTACCAGGCCTTTCGTGTTATTTAGGTAGAGGCAGTGGCGTACTTTGTCGAGTAGACGTTTTTTTTCCTTCACTAACGATCGCGATTAACACGAACTTTATGTTCTATATAGAAAGTTCGAAAAACGACAGTGCAAGGGAATGGCAAAATTTTAGCGCATTAGTCCTATGGTAGGGTACGACAGTACAGCATAATTTAGTCAATTTTGACCTATACAAGAAATTTTATTAATTAGGTTTGCAGGCAATGAAAAATTAGTGTGTATATTATGCACTTGAATAAGGAATATCGTAATATTGGGTAGCTGAAATTTATAGATAAAATAACGTCTCTTTCTCGTCTTCTGTTTATTTCCAGAATGAAATAACATTGACTAACTTGTCAGTTTCTATTTGTATAATCAATTCATTTCAAATAATACTTCGCAAATTCTCCCATTTTTTGACAATCAAAAAATGACAATTATTTAGCAACTAAAAATCTAGGTTTTAATCGGAAAACGTACAACTAACTAAAAAACATAAATACACATATGTATAATTTCTGTGTTTATTTAATTGAGAAAACATTTTAAATGAAAAAGATTTAAAAATATTGAAATTATTGTCTTATAAGACACCCAATGTAATGGAAATACTCTATCGTTAAATCATTAAATCGGAGGTTTACTGTAATAATGTTTTTCATTTTTTCTTGCTTTATTTTTCGTACATTTCTATCTCAATACAGATTTGGAAATAGTTCCTTCCTACCGAAAACTATTAATCGGTACGCCACTGTACAGCTGTCGAATGAACATTAAAAAGTGTGTGGCAACCCCGAATTGTTTATTTCAGTGATGTTAGGGGGGAATTATTTGGGTATTTTTTACGTTAGCGTTTTGTTGTTAGTTTTATTATTTGGATTCCTTGGTGTGCTCATTCGTTTGCTAGCAAAGAGTGGGATTGTAATGTTCGGTATTGAAGGATGCCACTTATGGTGGGTATGTTAAATACATCATAGACATGGTAACAAGTCTAACGTCTTTCACATAATAGAGTGTCATTTCAAAATAAAATATTCTCAGAAGGTCAGTAGCTTTAAGCCCATTTGGTAACTTTGACATTTTAAAAAGAACACCAACAACATCATGGATCTAAAATGAGGGGACTAAATGGAAATATCGGTTCGAGTACTCAAATTCGAAATTAAATTTTAATAATATCATCTAATAAATGGCTTGCAAGAGTCTGCTAAATTTTACAATTTTCTTCGATATCATACAGGAAAATTCGTTATCTTAGTTAAAAGTAGTAGATTCTTTCACCAAAAGATATTGAAATGACTGGGTGTTACTTTGGACCTAGAAGGAAGGATTTTTTTCCGAACAACGAAATTACAACAAACTTCCTTCAGAGAAGGTTGTAATCTTTTTACAGATTGAAAAAATGAGAACTAAGACCTCTACTATAGTCAACATTCCTGTCGAATTTTTTTTTGTTGAATGCCCTGCTTTCTATATCAGTTCAGTGTGAGGGTAATAGAAATAGGGCAATGTGAGTTCGCATAGACCGAATATAATTTTAGTTTTATACGAAGGTTTTTACATGCAGATACACAGATATACACAACTACTTCCACTACTTGCCTCTCATCAAACAACACACGCACACACATACAGATATATTTCGTCGCACACGTGTGTGGAATGCTGTCAGTTGGGATTTTTTGTTTTTTTGTATTTTCCATACAGCCATGTAGTAGAGCACCAGCAGTAGTACCCGACCCGAGTAGAGTATACTTGATGGCTGTTTGGTTCGTTTGCTCGTTTATGTCGTCGCATAAAATGCTTTTTGGGTTTTTGTTTTTCGAATCAGCCAGCCAAAGCATACAGCAGCAGCAGGCCAGACCAGGCTGTTTGTTGGTTCGTTCACAAAAGACGTTTACGGAACCAAGAGCTACTCGGCCTGTGTGTTTGTATCGTGAGGGCGGGGAAGGGCGAAAGAAGAGGGGGAACGAATGAACAATGGGGGACGACGAATGAATGGTTGGTTGGATGGATAGATAGATGGATGGGGGAAACAACAACAGATAGTCAGATGGATGGATGGATGGATCATACCATTCCACTCATATGAACTGAATGTGAATTTTTACTTCTACTGCTTTCTTGTTTTCGGTCGGTACAAAAATGAACAACAAACATCGACTGACTGAATGACTGACTGGCTGGCTGGCTGAAGACAACGGGTAAAGTTTCTTTCTGTTCGGTCGTTTGTTCGTTCATCGTTCATATCTTTAAAACGTTCGATGATGAAGTAACCATAAATATAAGAAAAAAAGACAAACACATACAGGCACACACATACGTACGTTGGAATATCTCTGACGGGTTTTATATGAAGAATGCCTCTTAGTTATAATGGCTGGCTGGCCCTGCCAGGCTAAAGCCAACAAATATGATGATGATCATCGCACAAGTTTCTGACTTGGCTGGCCAGCCGTATTGCTGTTGGACTGCCAGAGTTGAAGGCGACTTGCTGGTGTTTCGAGTGCTATTTTACTTGACTTTATGTTATAGCTAGTCAGCCAGCCATCCAGCCAGCTCTACGATATTGGCAGTTGGTTGTTTGGTTGGTACATTCATGCAAACTGACAGACACACAAACTGATGTACATTGACAGCAGCCAAAGCACAAACTGATGACTGCCCGTCTGACGTTCGGTTTGTATGTATGACGCGACCATAGGTAACTTTTGCCTTGAAACATTTTTTGTTTTGTGTGTGTGTGTTTTTGTTGTTTTCAATTTATTTCTTTCGAACCTATTATGCTGTGCGCGGCATTAACTCATTTTCGAGAATGGCCCGATCGACCACAAATAATTGCAATCTAAGGCAAAAGCTAAACAAAACAAACATCTTCGGCGACACAACAAGCGAGTTTGTTTGTTCGATGCCGACCGAAGTGCCAACTGAGAGAGCAAGTACAATAATAATTCGCAATCAATACGGGTCGGGTCGAATTTAGTCGAATTGAGCAAATATATCGCTCGATCGATCGCTTGCTCGACCCGACTGAGTTTGCGATCGTTGTTGTTGTTTTTGTTGGGACGTAGCAGTGGAATTGGATTGCACCTTCAAACTCCACAAGATGTGATCTTTGAGTCTCTGGTATTTTTTTTTTTTTTGTCAAATGTTTCAGACAAAATTGCAGTAAATATTTGTAGCCAACAATGGTGCTATTGGTCTTTTTTTTTTAAATTAACTTCTGATTATGTTGTTGTTTCTGGTTGGCTCACGTATGTCGAAGGACGACGAACAAGTCATCTTTATCGGCCTGTTATTCTTTTTTTTGATG